TTTTGTGGACCATTTTTGAGGATTATCCTAACATAAAGGTCAATTTTTCCCACTTTCCCTTCTTTTCCCTCCATATCATTAGTAAAATAATGACTTTTTGTCCCAAACTGATTAACTTTATTTATACTAGTTAGCAATTTTAAAATGCCTTCCAATTAAAAAAACAAACAAACAAAACAGTCGCTTATGTGAATGAAAGTAATTTAATCTGTGGGTTCTTTTAGGTAGCACATCTGCTTCTGCATATCTGATTATTAAAAGGAAAGACACAGGGCCTAACACATAGAACATGGACTTCAGAATCAAATGGATGTGGTTTTAAAGCTCAGCCTTTTTCATTAACTAGCAATGCTGCCAAAGCAAGTCAGTTGACACTAAGTTTAAGTTTCAAGTCGGGATAAAAATAGTGCCCTCAAAATGTTGTTAATAAAAAAACTTACCCATATAGAGCTTACTATATGCCAAGTTCTGTCCTCCCCTTCAACATCTATTAGTTCACTTAATTCCTATAACACCACCATGTAACAGCTATTAATTTAAATATGAAGAAACCAAGGCTCAGAGAGATTCTTTATATTTTGCCCGAAGTCTCACAACCAGGAAATGGCAGAGTTGAGATCCGAACCCAAGCATTCTGGTCCCCAAATCTGTGATCTTAACCATTTAATCTAGTTACTGATTCCCTTTCTCAATTTTAATTTGAAGGTTTATCTAAGAAATGCTCAACTTCAAAATGGGTGATAGAGAAAAAAAAAAAAGGGTCCCAGTTCGAATTCTCTTGGAAGTTGGTTACTTGCCACTTTCAATGCATTTTCTCCTAAAACTCTGCTATAAACTTGTGCATCTGCTCTAGCTCATTAAAGAAAAGCAAAGAAGTATGTAAATAAAAATCAAATCCTTAGTGGAAAAACATGATTTTAATGATAAATAATAGAAGAGAAATACCACAGAGGGCAACACAAATAGGACCAGGGAGATGATTTAACATTTTCTAGGCCTCAGTTATGCTGCTTGTGAAAGGCTTTATCCCTAAGACCTTAACTAGGAGAGAGTAAGAAAGTGAATGGAAATAGAAGAGAGTGTTTCAGGTGCATGAATGCACTTGGAACTTGATGACCTAGACTCTTAACTTTGTTCAACTTGCCTTCAAAATTTATGGATTTCCTTTCCCTTGATAGAGGCCCATCACTAGCACTATTCTTACCATTTTTCTGTCTTCAGAAAAGAAGGAGAGGTGATGGGAGGAGGAGAAAGAGGAGAAAGAAAAATGGATAAAAAAAGAAATGGCAAAGTGGAGGAGACGAGCCAAGAGAAAAAGGAATTGTCTCCGGTGAGGCGAGCAGCAGGACAGAACGGAGGTGGTAGACGAACAGGTTTGAAGGTGGGCGAGAAGCAAGTGGGTAATTATTTAAAATCTAGAGTCACTGTTATGCACATTCATGTCAATAGAGTCAGCCTGATCCAACTTTATATTCATCATCTTTGGTCTTAACACACTTGGAAATCATTCTGACAATACGCTAGCTTTCTGTAATTATATTATAAGATAGTCCTTTTTTTCTTTTATTATAAGCTATCTCCTCCCAGATCGGACTGTGCATTTGTCTCTCTGGAACTGGCTGAGATATGATCCTAGTTACAGGTCTGGGGACACTAAGCGGTACTTGGGGCAAGTCTTAAGGAGAATGGACAATTTGTGGCCAGACAGCTCAGCTGCCCCGAGTAAAGTTATTCCAGGGTCTTCAAGTCAAGGGAAGCTGGCTTTTTCAAACCCACAAGGATGAGCTGTTTTCATTGGGAATGAAGGTTCAGAAGACTCAAGATTTAAGGTTTAAGAGGGTTCCAGATTCTCAGCTTTAGCTCAGTTGACCCAGAAGTCACCTCCTATGTTAAGGTCTCCCCAGTTAATGTCCTGAATTTCACATACGATTTCTAATGAATCTGTGTCAATTTTGCAGTCAACACAACTAAATTCTGAGTTTCAGTGAGTTCAGCCTTGCGTTTTAAGGAGAGAATCATTGGAGGCTACCATAAAAAAAAAAAGCTCTTGAGCTTTCTCACTGTAATTGGAGCTGAGAGTTTAAAGCCCAGAACTTGTCATTGTTCTCCTATCAGGACCCCAATTCATTCAACTCATTCACTCCACCATCCTTGAAATTGTCATCAATTATTACCGCTATCACTTTGCTACCATGAAGGCCAAGTTCAGCAGGCATTTGGTCCCCAAAGTCACTGGCTTAATCACTTTATCACAATGACAGACAATAACTTGAGAGGCTGCTGCTTGCCACGAAATACTAACATTTCATTCCCATCAGTAGGTGCCAAAATTGCATTGTGGCCCAGGCATAGAACCAGATCAATCCTATTACCCCATCCTGGAAGGCCTCCTGGTGCAAATACTGTATAGTCAGGGTCCATGAGGAAAATCAAAATCACATTAAGTATTTCAACTGGGAAATCTAAGATGGAAATTCAGAGGGTAAAGAACAAAAAACAACACTGCCGGAGAGCCAGCTGTTTCGAGGAGGGGCCGTATGAAGGAAGGGCACAGGCAGGCAGGGAAACAGCCTGGATGCTGTGGTTCTTTGGGAGGGTGGTGATAGAGCTGGTCCTGAGAAAGCGGAAAAGAGCTGGTGTCCGTGCACCTGCCACGATTGGAACAACGCTGGTCAGACCAACACCTACTCAACATCTATCTCCCATTGGCTGAACCTAACTGGAAACAAAGGGAAATGTACTTTGCAGAGTGTGACTCCAGTATCACAAAACAGATGACCAAAGGCTGGATCTAGAGTGTGAGACTATAACTTCATCACTGCACAGTGGGTGAGGAGTGAGAAAGGAGGCTACAGTTCTGCATAAGGGACATGTGTTGGCCAGACCATTCACATGGTGTCTATATTTACAGAGCTATGGCTATGAGTTAAGGTAATCAACAGGGAGCAACTCTGAGCAAATAAACTGTTAAACCAATTTGGCTATATTTCCATGGCTAAAAGTCTCAGGTCTGAACGTCTAAGCAGGGTTGAAATGAGACATTCTAGGTATTGTGATTATAGGAATTGCTGCTATCTTCATTTTGATACTGTTTTGGAGATGTTGTAGGGTATAGCCACACTGGGTTTACAGCCACTGGTACCAAATGTTCTATTATAATATGAGATGGAAAAATACCATGCGATGATATTTTTCACTATGAACAACCAATAAGACACTAGATCTGTGAGCCATAGGACTAGAGCTTATGGACCTTCATTCTGTGGCAAAGGTATATACATGTCCCCATATGGATTGGAACTTCCATATTCTAACCCACTTCATCAGGATAAAGCTGGATCTTAATCTGTTGTGAAGTATACTTCACTGTAGTGAAGTCCTAAACTTCATCATTTAATGAAACTTTGGATAAATAAAAGTATAGATAAATGACTGATTTAATGGATGGATATATGATGGTTATAGATTTCAGAGGTGTCCATACTTGGAGTTAAAATGACCCAGATGGGGTTGCCAACATTGATTGTATAGTTTGGCTGCTTGTTTTTCTTCTCAAAGCAGATTATTGCAACTTAAAGGTCTGTTGGCATTTTCACCAAATTTTCTCAACCTATTTCTTTTCCGTGGGGAAGTTAAAGCAAACAACTACAAGTTAACCAAGCCTTATTGGGTGCAAACAGTTATGAAGAAGTGGAATGGAATGACAGTGGAAGGTGGTTTTGGAGTTGTCTCATGATTTTCAACAGCTAAGAACTGAATGATCCAAGGTGAAAAAAGATCAATGATCTCTATAGAAAAAGACCAGCCAAGGATTTGGGACAAAAAAAAAAAATCCCACAAGACATTTAGCACCCCTAGTGAATGACAGATTTATATGGCAGTGACAGATTTTTATTTTCTTTGGCTCCAAAATCACTGTGGACTATGACTGCAGCCATCAAATTAAAAGATGCTTGCTCCTTGGAAGAAAAGCTATGACAAACCTAAAGAGCATATTAAAAAGCAAAGAACATTAGTCTGTCAAGAAATGTCCATATAGTCAAAGCTATGGTTTTTCCAGTAGTCATGCATAGATGTGAGAGCTGGACCATAAAGAAGGCTGAGTGCCAAAGAACCGAGGCTTTCAAACTGTGGTGCTGGAGAAGACTTTTGAGAGTCCCTTGGACAGCAAGGAGATCAAACCAGTTAACCCTGAAGGAAATCAAACCAGAATATTCATGGGAAGGACTAATGCTGAAGCTGAAGCTCCAATACTTCGGCCACCTGATATGAAGAGCCACCTCATTGGAAAAGACCCTGATGCTGGGAAAGGTTGAAGGCAAAAGGAGAAGGGGGTGGCAGAGGATGACATGGTTAGATGGCATGACTTAATGGACATGCATTTGAGCAAACTCCTGGAGATAGTGAAGGGAAGCCTGGTGTGCTGCAGTCCATGGGGTTGCAAAGAGTTGGACACAACCTAGTGACTGAACAACAACAGCATCATTCATGGGGGTAAGAAGAAGGTCCTGGAGGTCCCAGATAAAGAGATCACGTAGCCTAAACCTATCTTACAAGTGGGTCCAAGACAAACCCCGCCTCGCAGCCCACTGTGGGGCAGGAGCATGGCCAGGTGAAAGGAACAGGGCAGAGAAGTCACTGCGCCTGCTGGCATCCTGCAGAGGCTGCCGCTCCCTTCTGCGGCACAAGTCGGGCAAAGCCTCCAACACTAATGGACCCGAACCGAGGCCTGTGCCCTCTGTGCGAGCCTGTCACAGCGGTTTCCGGCCGCGGGCCCTGAGAGTGGCCACACATGTCACTGGGGCCAGGGTCCGGCCCCCAAACACCGTGGTCAAAAGGCCTGGGGAGGGACGTGGTCTGGGGCCGTGAGTGCTCGCTGAAGTTCTGCTTTGGTCTCGACCACGACATCAGAGATGATGTGATGCACCAGGCTTGAACATGTTTTGAGTTACGCTGTATTGCATACACATGTAAAACAAATCTGGGAACCCACAAGTGTGTGACCAATTATTTTGCTCCTCTGCAAAGTGTTTATTAAATTTTGAAAAACGAGATGATACAAAGAGGCAAACAACAGAAGCAATCACAAACCCCAAACAGTTTTCAAATCTATAAACAATTTTTGAAAAACATTCAAGTAACTTTCCAACTGTGTTGCCAACGCAGCGCGGAAAACAGATCTTTCTTGAGATTCGAGAAATTTCCAAGTATGTTCAGAATGACCCACACATGTCTGTTTGGCTGTTCTGAGCAGCAACGAATCACGGAGAACCCTTGCTCTAGATACTCGAGACATTAAACAGCAAAGGCCGGCCTCCGCAGCTTAGCACCTCTCAGTGACTATAAGTCTTTGGGGTTTGCGAGCTCACAGACTGGGGTTCAAGGCTCAGTTCTGCCGCTGTCACACGAGTGATACTGAAGCCACATCAAGCCTTACTTCATTATCTGAAAGAGAAGTACTTTGTCTGTATGAGTGTTTTCAAACCATTAGTAATGACTAATTAGTTGGTATTTTTGGGGGTCACGACCAACATTTAAAAAAGGAAAAAAAAAAAAACCAGAATCAAACCAAAAAGAAAATATCAGAGTACATGGCAAAGCAGTAAAAGTATGTCTGATTTCATGCAATTTCTGTTTTAATATGTATGCATGTTGGAAGTGTTTTGTTCCTCTACAATAGGCTTATTAAATTAAAAAAATGAAACAATATAAAGAGGCAAACATCAGAAGCTACCACAAACAAACCCTAGTTTTTAGCAATTTTTGAAAACTGTCCACATAATTCTGTGATTAGTAATATTTACATATATATTTTTGTCCTGGGTGACACAGTAAAATACATTTCTTCTTAGAGATTTTGGTCAAAAGGTTTGCAAACCACTCCTTTAAGCTTCCATTGCCTCTAACATTCTATGATTCTGGAAGATGGAAGGGGCACTCTCACTAAGCCCATAATGAGAATACGAAATGTAGCATTTTTAACACTTTTTAGGCTTCCAGGCACCGTGTTAATTGCTTTCCATGCATCATTTTATTGAACACTCCCAGCAACTCTATGAGTTAGGTAATCATGATGCCGTTTTATACGGACTAAGGAAATTAAGCAATCTTGGAGAGATTCGGAACATACAGTTGGCAGGACAGTCAAGATTTGAAATTCGTAGGCTGACTTGCAAGTCCCTCTTCATTTTTCTACAATTTGCTGCCAAACATGTGAGATTCTGAGCATCAGCTAGCAGCTCAGCCCGTGATACAGACGGACGCAAGTCTCTGCCTAGATTATGAGACAGACCACGCCCCTTCCTCTTGACTAGGGAAGGTGCAATGTGCACCCCCAAGGCCTGCTTGGAAAGCAAGGGCATTGGTCACTTTCTTCACATTTCACTTTTCTCATCTGGAATCCGAATTCCCCTCCCTGTCTCCCAGAGTCCCCATGATAACAGAGAAGGCAAAAGCTCTAGATTTGATTTTGTATGAAATGAAAATATCAAGTCTCACCTTTTTATAAGTGTCCTCACCCTGTCTGAATCTAGAAAGTGGAGTGTGATTCTACATACACTCTTCTCTACATGCAGAGAGAAGAAAACCTCAGCCCACCTGGAGGGTGTAAAGGGATATGTAAAAGGCGTAAAGAGACTTTCAGCAGAAGTAGTTACAAATTCTACAAGAAGTCTTCCATGTCTCATAGTCCATACCCCAACAAATGCATGGATACTGGCCTGGCCTTACCAGGATGCAGTATAGGCCTTTGTGTGTAGCCCTGACCAGGAGAATAACAAACATTTCCTTCCTGCAGTTATCGAGCCCTCTCAACCTGCATGAAATTTTACCATTAGAAAGTAATTTCTTTTGTTTTAAGGCATTATATCTACAGAAATTCCTGATGAAAAATGAAACCTTTCCATGGCTCACATATAAGGTAATTAGTAGCCCAAGTCACAATTGGGTCATCCTAAAATCTAACAAAATTTCGATGGTACACGAGCAGTAAATTCACCCGGGGGTAAGGGGAAAGATTGGTAGCACAATCTGGAGAGGCAGGCTTAGGTAGGAATCCAATACCGTGTAAAACTCAAAGAGTGTAGAGGGTCACAGAAAAGCGCTGAAAACAATTTGTGGCCACCTTCAAGTTTAGGCTTCCCCGATAGCTCAGTTGGTAAAGAATTCGCCTGTAATACAGGAGACCCCGGTTCGATTCCTGGGTCAGGAAGATCCACTGGAGAAGGGATAGGCTGCCCACTCCAGTATTCTTGGGCTTCCCTGGTGGCTCAGCTGGTAAAGAATCCTCCTGCAATGTGGGAGACCTGGGTCCGATCCCTGGGTTGGGAAGATCCCCTGGAGAAGGGAAAGGCTACCCCCACTCCAGCATTCTGGCCTAGAGAATTCCATGGACTGTATAGTCCATGGGGTCGCAAAGAGTTGGACACAACTGAGCAACTTTCACTTTAGTTTTGGAAGAAATTGCAATACTCCAGGAAAACCATAATCTTTCATCTGGTGCTTTCTAGTTTTACCCGTGCTAGCCCATTTAACACTCACAACATCCCTTTGAAGCAGAGAAAGGAGGTGACTTGCTCGAGGTCACCCAGCTGTGAAACGGCAGTTCGCACAATTCCTGAGCCCTTCAAACTCACCACAATTCTCCCTGGGGGCCAGGGTTCACCCTCTGTGCCCACATCCACACTCAGCAATCTTCCTCTGGGCAAAGGTGCCTCACGCCCCTTTTGACATGTGTCAGGTAGCATGGAGACGGACCTACGCAAAGAGGTCTCTGGCTTTAATCCTTATCAGTGAAATAAACCAGCCGGTATGTGTCTGTATGTGGCGTGCACACCACACACACACACAGAGAGGATCACACAAAAAGAATATCTGTTCTAGGTTCATAACTCAACCAGAAGTCATGGGTGATTAAAGCTTTTGGGCTTTGCTCCGATCTCAGGTTTCGCCTTGACTTTCAGTTCTCTGCTTCTTCCTCCTCTCCCCGCCCACTTTTTAGTGGCCTTTGTTCTTCGTTCCTGAGCCATCTGGTTGCAAAGCATGGAAGGAGCACAGTGCAGCAGGCGCATGAAAAAACAGCACCAAAAAAAAAAAAAAAAAAATAGGAGGAAAAAAAAAAAAAGACAAAAACCCGAAAGGTTTAATTCCCCTTTCAAAATGAAAAAACAACGCCCCCAAGACCCAAGCAAAAAGGGCAAACCGGCAACAGGGGTCTTTGGATAGGAGACTGACATATGTAGAAAGAGGAAAGGACGACCTGAGGCACGCTGTGCGGCCAGGCTGGGCTAGGGCATGGCTGGATCAGTGACACAAGTGGTCCCTAGCCCAGGGACATGCGTCAGAGGAGGTGTCAGAGGAACCACACAGACACCTGCTCCCGATGGTCCCCACACTGCTGCGCTCACCCCCTGGAACCATGGGACCTATTCTTTTCTCGAAGCCAAGGCTTTGCGCCTCTCCTCCTCTCCAGCAAGCTTCTGAGTCTACGTCCATGTTCCCCACTGTGTGAATGCATCCAGCCACTACCTCAAATATCATAAATCCTCTCTCTCCCCCTTTCTGTCTGCCTGTTTATCTACAATCTGTCTATTTAAATTCTTTTTAAACAAGAAGGGAATATCTTTATGCCTGTTTGTAGGAATATTCTACATCCATCTGTTATTTACATCATTCGTTTTCCTGAGGTGTCTCCAACAAATCCTGGCTGGATGCACTGTATGTGTTATTAATAAAACAGCTGTAAAAATATTAACTGTACGGCCTAATTGTCAGCCCTGATTAGGAGCCAAGTTTATCCCTGGACGGATGCGGAGACTCAGAATTTGGGCTTCAGTCCAGATCTGACCCTCGCAGCTCACTTTACATTTGATTCTTTGACCATTTAAGCTGCTCTGGCTTCTTCTCTCCCTGCCCCCCAGGGATCTGTGCACATCCGGCCACTGATCTCCTGACTCCTTCAGGTGGCGCTGTTCCAGCTTCTGGAATGTTCTTCCCCACTCTGCTCCCTCCCCCGTCCTCGCCTCTCCCCCCCACCTCCTGGCACCACCACTTCAGTTAAAGTTAGCAGCCCTATGCTATATAATCACCTTTAAGGGACTTAAAAGATGAGTAGAAATACTGTCAGTATTGTTTCTCCATGCGCAGTGATAGGAACTCGCATTTGGACAGTCTGCACTGGAAAACATGTCTCTAAAACCAATGGACACTACAGACCAGAGAGCTTAGACGCTAGAGAGCCTCTACGGATTGGCCACAGAGTGATAGTCCATGAGTATCAGGAATTAGATCAAAATCTTTCAGACAAACCTTCTGGATACATAAGATAAACGAAGAGTTGATAACACATTTTATGTCTAACAGAGTGTGCAAAAGAAATCAAATGAGGGCAGAAGTAAGCAAATGAAACACTTGTGTTACTGTTCCTTTCTTAGTCTAGCTGGATGAACCCAGACGCTAACATCTCAGTGAGGCCAAGGTGTTTACTGGGAGGATAAAACCACTTAGAAAAACACTTTTTCTGCCAGTGCCCAGAAAGCCTTAGCAATGTCTATGTCATCTAGATCTCAGCCAATGGGAAAGCAATAGGAGAAGACACTTAGATAAACTGGTATGATGATTCGCATCATTACATATGAAATACATAAATTATCTGCCAATGCTTCATAGATCAAAGGATTAATGACAGTTAACCCAGTAACACCTAACATAGTTGTGATTAATTGTTGAAAAGTTGGATAAGACTTGATGTTTCATGTTGCCCTTCTTTCAGGGATTTTCTTTATTTTTAAAAAAATTTAACTTTTTATTTTATATTGGAGTAGGGGCGATTAACAATGTGATAGTTTCAGGTGGGCAGCAAAGAGGCTCGGTTACAAATATACAAGTATCTATTCTCCCACAAATCCCCCTCCCATCCAGGATGCCATGCAACGTTGAGCAGAGTTCCGTGTGCTACACAGTAGGACCTTGTTGGTTATCCATTTCTAAGTATAGCCATGTGTACATGTCCATCCCAAACTCCCTAACTATCATGGATTTTATTTAGAATTGCAATATTCTACTTGTATGGAGTACTTTGGAAATTTTTACAGCAATGGCCTTTGATTTTGCTTATTTTTCCAGGAAGTTTCCAAGCTGGCTTTCTTGCCATAGAAGATTACTTCTTAAATTATCTCTCACCTCACAGGTTCCAGGCCACCCTTGCAAATGTTTCCAAAAAGACAGCATGTGCTGGGGTCACCATCCTGCCTTCAATTCTCATGACCATTAGTATTGACAATCTGGTAGAATGCTCATGGCTTGCTTAAATGGTACATTTTAAAATAATCATTTTTAAGGGGAAACCATATTTTTGTCTCTAACAGAGGTGATGAAAATTTCAGAAAAGAAACCCAAAACTTCTCATTTCCATCTCTTAAAAGAATTCGTGGCAAGGTGGTAATGAA